CACAGAGAGAGACATAGAGACAGAAAGCGAGAAATCACCCCCCAGGGGGGATGGTCACGCCACAATCCCTTCTCCTCCATTCTCCTCTCGGGATCTTGGGCACGCACACACAAGTGCCCAGCGTGAGTTTAAGCCACCGGATCTGGGATGTGAACCGCGGTTGACTACGTGGGAGTCTAGCGACATAGCCATTATGCTAACTGCTGGTTCCCTCCAAGTGTGCTTTTGAAGTCACTGAGTCTGGGACTCAAAATGTGCAGCTGGCCACATGGTATCCAGCCACTTTAACCATCATTCCATTGACAGGCCCAATATTTTAATTTATATTTTTTAGGGTTTTTTTTTTTAAGGTTTATTTATTCATTCATTTATTTTCAATTTGACAGAGAGAGACATAGACAGAGAGAGAGAAAGAGGGGAAGTGAGAAAGCAAGCCACCAGGTCCGGGAATTGAACCATGGTCAGCCATGTGGGAATGTCTAGTGCCCCAACCACCATGCCACATGCTGGTCCCCCAGGGATTTGTTCTTTATTCCAAAAAGACAATTGTCGAGACCAGCAGTTAGTGTAATAGCTATGTCGCTGGACTCCTATGTAGTAGACCATGGTTTGAGGAGAATGGATGAGAAGGGATTGCGGCATGGCCATTCCCCCTGGGGGGTGATTTCTCACTTTCTGTCTCTCCGTCTCTGTCTGTCTGGCGAGCGCACGCGCCCTATAGCAAAAACTTCTCCAAAATAAAAAAGAATTAAAAAACCTACAATAATTATTTAATTTTATTTATTCATTCATTTATTTTAATTTGACCAGAGAGAGAGAGGGAAAGTGAGAAAGCAAGCCACCAGGTCCGGGAATTGAACCATGGTCAGCCATGTGGGAATGTCTAGTGCCCCAACCACCATGCCACATGCTGGTCCCCCAGGGATTTGTTCTTTATTCCAAAAAGACAATTGTCGAGACCAGCAGTTAGTGTAATAGCTATGTCGCTGGACTCCTATGTAGTAGACCATGGTTTGAGGAGAATGGATGAGAAGGGATTGCGGCATGGCCATTCCCCCTGGGGGGTGATTTCTCACTTTCTGTCTCTCCGTCTCTGTCTGTCTGGCGAGCGCACGCGCCCTATAGCAAAAACTTCTCCAAAATAAAAAAGAATTAAAAAACATAAAATAATTATTTAATTTTATTTATTCATTCATTTATTTTAATTTGACCAGAGAGAGAAAGAGAGAGGGAAAGTGAGAAAGCAAGCCACCGGGTCCATAGTCAGCTATATGGGAGTGTCCAGCGCCTTAACCACCACATCACCTGCTGGGGTCCCACCTTGCTCAATTTTAATCATTCGTTATGGAAGAGCATCTGTCTTCCATCTGCCCCCACTTATTATTCTCTGGTAATTTAAGATCTAAATGAAGATTGGAAGCTAAGTGATTAAGACACAGATACACTGAGAAAAGATCTTAGAGAACATCATCTCATAAAGGGCAAGCTATTCAGTATGCAGGCTATAAAAGGCCTTTTAGAATAAAAGGATATCAAACCTGAATGAACGCTGGGCCCATTTCTCCTGATCCACACGGGGAGCTAGTCCAGACTTTCCAGCCCACAGGACATTGTCACAGGCGAAGTACAAGGCTCGATTGAGGTGACTGACAGTGATGCAGAATCTCAGGACAACATCTGACAGGTGTACAGCTCTTTTGGCTGACTCAAGAGCATCTGCTGAGTTACCCAGACGTAGAACTTGTGGCGATTAATAAGGGCAAACAGAGATTTGGAGGTAGAGAGGCAGAGAGGAGGACAGAAAAAGAGATAAAATAAGAGAATGAAAGTTGAGCAAGTAATAGTAACAAACAATAAAAAAAAACAGAAACAGGTCATTCTTTTTTACTTCAAATTTTAATTAATTTTAATACTAGTATAGTTTTCTCAAACTTGCCACATTCTCTCCAATCCTTCAGTACTTCCTTAGCCCTGCTCTTTTTTCCCAATTGGAGAACACAGAGGATAAAGGCAGAGCCAAAGTATGGAGAACTGGCAGAGAGGGCAAAAAGCAGAAAGGGGGACCAGCAGGTGGTATGGTGGTTAAAGTGCTGGACTCCCACATGGCCAACTGTGGTTTGAGTCCTGGACATGGCGGCCTGAAACTCATGCTGGGCACATGTGCATGTGTGCCCCAAATCTCAAGAGAATGGAGGAGAAGGGGTTGCAGTGTGGCCATCCTCCATGTGGGGTGACTTTTCACTTTCTGCTTCTCTGGTAAGGGCATGCGGCCTATAGCAAAAATCTCTCAAAAAAAAAAAAAAAAAGCATAAAGGAGAGACTAAGGGAGAATACCGGGGGGAGGGGGAGGCTGAGGAAGGATTAGGACAATAAAAAGAAAGGCACAGTTACTTACGCTTTCTTCCAAGGCTCAGATGACCTTCCAGTTGTCTAATTTGTTTCTGTAACTCAGGACTGGCCCCATGTCTCTGTAGCGCATGGCCAAGTAGGGAACAAGCATACTGGGCAGCCCTGGAGGAGAGGACAGTCAGCAAAGGTAATGTGGAGACCTCCCTAAATTCCCCTCAAAAAAAAGTCCTCCTAGGGGTTGGCAGGAGGTGTGGTGGTTAATGGGCTGGACTCCCACATGGTCGAGGATGGTTCCAGTCCTGCACCTCGTTTGCTTTCTTACTTTCTATCTCCATCGCTGTCTCGCTCTGTCCCTTTCTGGTCAAATTAATATCAATTAATTAACTAATTTAAATAATTCTTTAAAAAAAATGTCCTCCTAAATGCAAGGATGGACTTCTCTTTTTTCCCAATGAGATCCGTCCCCTTTCTCCTCTCCATGCCCATAATCTCACCAGTTCTCCTCCAGGCCAGTGGGCTATCAGGTCCAAGACTCTAACTTCACATAGTCAGCTATGTGGTATCCAACAACCTTAACCACCACACCTTGGGCTAGCCACAGTGTGTACACTTTTTTCTAATGTG